TGTGTGTGTGTGTGTGTGTGTGTCTGTCTGTCTGTCTGCTTCGCTAGAGTGTGTGTATGTGTTTTACTAGAGTATGTGTATGTGCAGGATATACTTCAATAAATATCGATAGAGTGAAAAGAGACGAGAGAATGAAGAAAAAAAAGGTGTAAGGTAATAAACAAGGACAGATGGAACATAGCCTAGATTAAATGGAGTGGTGTAGCCTAGTATAGCTAACAAGGCTAATAAATCATGCTAGACTAGCTAGTCTAGCATGATGTTGTCACTATAGCTTAATAGTCAGATAATATAAGCTCCTTCGACACTTCCACCTGCTATACGCATTCATTTCTATCCCTATTGAATTCAATCATTAAATCATTCTTTTTTTTTCCACACTATCTCTTTTTTTTTTTACTTTCGTTTAATTTATCCCTCATTATTTCGTGTTTCATTTTACTTTTTCTATTATTTGATTAATAGTAATTCCTTCATAATTATCATTTATCAATGAAATCATTTTTTTTTTAAATATTATTTGCTTTTAGCAATTATTTGGTATTGTTAATAATTTATATCACAGTAATAACAATTTAGTTCGAATTGTAATTAGCGCGCTAAATAGTGCTAAAATAATTAAAGCAATAAATCGATGCCGCTATTTCGAAAAGATAAAAAAGGATCGGAAAAACAGTTCAGTATTCGTGATTATTATGAATTCAAGGATGTCTTGGGTACCGGTGCTTTCTCCAAGGTGTGCCCTTCATTGTTAATTTGCTTTCTTTCTACCTGCGTACATGTAATTAAATATATTTAATAAAATTTGGTTACGTCATTTCAAAAAAAAAAACGACAGCATTAATAAAATTATGTAAATTTTAAATTTTGAAAGTTTAGAAAGAGAAAGAGAGAGAGAGAAAGAGAAAAAGATAATAATAAATCGAAAATCTTTTAAAAATTCTACGTTTATCTTTACTTTGCATGAATCGTTTAATGCAATTTTTTTTTTTCACCTCTTCCCTTTTTCAATTACTTCATTCTTGTTGTTATTATCCAACATACATTTTATAATTTGAAATGAAAAAATACCTGTGTCCTTTCGATTTCTTTTTTTTTTCCTTTTGTATTTATTATAAAATGATGAGAAAAATTTTTTCCTCTTCCGTTTAAAAAAAAAAAAAAATAATAATCTAATCATTTTTGGTTGTCAAATGCATCATGCATTTTGATGAATGTTGAAAAGTTCAACATCTACTGTCCAGTTATTTATCATAAATTTTGTTATATTTAAGTGACGTATTGGATAGAACAATTTACAAGTGATAAAATTTTTTTTCTAAGACTTATCATTTATACATTATTTTTGAGATTTAATACTTAAAATACTTTATTTTTTGCTTCAGATAATATGATAATTGTGAAATACTATAACATGTCCAGTATTTTTTTTTATAAAATGTGAAAGAAAATGAATAAAACTAAAGGGAAAAAAACTGATTAGATATTTTTTCATCAATAAATTAAACTAGTAATATTAGCTTATAAAAATATACGTAAGTAATAATGCGGAAATATTTAGTAAGTATGAAGCATGAAATAATCGGTGAATGCTTGTAATCATCAAAAAATATGAAAATTTTCGCATGGCATAGTTGCAAAAATGATTCATCTAGCCTAATAATCATATATTTGTTGAATGACAACAACGTTATTGTGAATGGCAAATTCTATCCTATTTCAAATTAATTTTTTAAATCATACATTTCTTCTTGTTAAATATCAAATTGTGAAATATTTGCAAGATGATAATATCGGAATATAAAAGAAGCAGAAGTAAATTTTAAAATAACAGAAAAAATAATAAATTAATTTTGCTACAGTGATATTTTTTCATTTCTCTCTTTTTTTTAAAGTTATTGTAAGGCATAAAAATTATATTCGAAAAAAAACTATAAATTCTAAAAATTTCAACAATTATTGTCAAATAGTTTTTT